TATTGATGGAATTGAAGATGAGCGTTGGTTTTACGAGCTTATTAAAACTGCCTCGAGGAAGATGAGTTGGCCAAATACAAGAAAGAGGATTGAGGAGTTGGAGATCAAGCTGACAAGAAACTCAATTGAAAGAGAAATTCAGGTTCATGGAGAGAAGGTCCATCAAAGTAGCATAAATGGAGTTGCAGAAGGAGGATTAGAAATTGAATTTTGTTTTAAAACATATACGTCGAGAGATTGAAGATGGAGGGGATAAAAAGTTGGTTGTACAACGGAGAGTGGAAACTATTGGATCTTTAGGTGTTATGGTTGTTGCAACTACCACAACCTATGTTTATGTTAAAACGAGGAATCATTGATTGAATTACTAAAGTTAAGGCCAATTCACTATTTAAACTACTGGAACCTGTAGATAAGGAGTGTCTAATTTTGTGCTTCGCTACTTTGATCGAGTCTATTAGTATATTGGATGTAACTCTAATTTTATCATTTGCTCTCAAGTGTTGATGGTTTCTTTTTAGTTGAGTTGTTAGCATATGATTTACTTGAATAAACAACTCTTCATTTCTGTTTTTTTATAAATCCATTTATTTTTTATTAGTGGCATGTTATTCATAGAGGAGAGCTTTGAACCATTTATGTGGGATTGTGAGGTTTCATTTCAGTTTCAAACTATATATGGATCGTGTGAGAATTTCAATGAGCTTTTATATTATATATTTATGGACAATCTACTAACCAATATCATTTTAATGGGGGCTCAATTATCATTATGAAAATGGGATTAATGATATATTTTTATATTCTTAAATGAGGAGGGTATTTCCCTGAATGTTCGACCTATATATTCATTATTTATGTAGCATCTCAATTGAATGATTTTCAATAAACTTAAACGAATTAATAGACTTAAACATAACATAAAAATATAAATATTAAAATATGAACATTCCGGCCAACAGGCCGGGTTATAAGCTAGTAATATAATACGCCGAAGGGAAAAACGGGAGCCCCATTTCAAATTTCATGCAACGAGAGTGAATGTAGGAAGAACCAATTACTTTTTTTTATTCATTAAAAAGACACGTACTGGGATTCGAACCATGACCATTTAAAAAAAAAGCAAGGATCATAACCAATCACAATAAGTACATTCGTTGTATCTTTTTAAATCAAAAACATATAATAGCAGGGAGAAAAAAAAACTCTTCCCCCATTTCAAATTCTCTGCTCCATGAGCGTTTGTAGGAAGGGTTGAATGGGCCTGACCTACATGGGATTTGGCTATCAAGTAAAACAAATGAACATCATTGGTTTGACATTCTAAAACAAGCAATTTTGTCTGGCATAATATATAGGACTTTGCTATGGTGACATGCACTTTTCGGTCGACCTCATATAGGATTAGGTTGACCTAATCTGTTGTTTCACTGTAAAAACAGTTTCATGGTGCCTACTTTGGAGATTAATGGCTTGTTTTGAAGCTGAAGTGTCCCTCTATACATTAAAGTACTTGGGAGCTCGATAGAAAGTCCAGAAGGCCATTTTTGAACCTGATCAAAAGGCTATGCCAAAACTGGAAAACTTTCTGAAAATGGCTAAGTCTGGGAACGTGTTTGTGAAGTCTACTTTGGAGCTCAATTTGAGAAGCATGGATGCGATTCGAGCCAAGGGGCCTCTACTACGTTAAATTAGGTATGTATTTCTACAAAGACAAGATATTGGATGAAAGATTGGATATCTTTAAGGCTTCAAACAAAAGGCTCGAAGTTGCTACGAAGGCTTTTTTCTGGCAGCTTGCTTGTGCTCGAAGTCGTCCAAAAAATAGCCTTCATAGAAACTTCGACCCTTTTGTTTGAAGTCCTAAAGATATTAAATCTTTCATCCAATGCCTTAAATTTGTATAAAAACATACCTAATTTAACGTGGTAGAGGCCCCTAGACTCGACTCGCATTCATGCTTCTCGAATTGAGCTCCAAAGTAGGCTTCACAAACACGTTTCCAAACTTAAGCCATTTTCAGACAGCTTCCCAGTTTTGGCATAGCCTTTTGATCAGGTTCAAAAATGGTCTTCTGGACTTCCTATCAAGCTACCAAGTACTTTAATGTATAGAGGGACACTTCATCTTCAAAACAAGCCATTAATCTTCAATTTTCATCTAGCCAATTGTAAGATATGAATCTCCAAAGTAGGCACCATGAAATTGTTTTTACACTGAAACAATAGATTAGGTCGACCTAATCCTAAATGTGGTCGACCTAATCCTAAATGAGGTTGACCGAATCCTAACTGAGGTCGACCAAAAAGTGCAAGTCACCGTGACATGCATGTCACCGTAGGCGCACCCATATTATATTACGCTATTGTTTTATATCTTAGTGGCTAAAATATAATGTATTTTAAAGTTATTCAATGGTTCAACCTCGACCAACCCAATTAGTCCAATTTTTATCATTTCAAATATATAATATAATTATTTGATATCATAATGATCAAGTTATAGTGTATTTTATGGGGAATCGTTTGGTATTTGTTAGTAAAAAAACTAAACAGAAAGATCTATTTGGTTTTTTTAAACATTAAAACGATCCTAAACATTTTCAGTTCCTTTTGAATTTCTATGGTTTTATTCCAGAATAAGTGATGTGCAAATGGCGAATTGCAGTCATCTCTTTTCTTTAACTATATTTTATTTTCAAATAGAAAGTTTAAAAGTAAAGAATAATTAGAATTTGGCATGAGTCGGTCAAACAGACTGAATTTCAAGTTTTGGCCCGTTTTGATCTTGTCTAATTTATAATTACATGGTTCCCCGATACCCGATAAAAATCTCAATCTAAACAATGGTTTGGCAGGTGTGTCCGTATTTACCACCATTTTCTAGGGAGACGACAACGGCGGTTCCTATCCCAAATCGTGTTGTTCGTTCTTGATTTCCTTAGATTTTATCATGGTCTAACAAAAACCAGAAAGCACAATGACGACAAGATGAAAGTTTTATAAACCAAATTAATCGGCCAACTGGCCGAGTAAAATCTAGCAACGATTGTGAGATGCTCATTTCCCGAAAACCGACGGCATAGGCAATTTTTTATTCGATTTTCTGGAATTCGGTTTCTATAAAACTTACTCCACCTCATCATATTACCAGAAACAATATTGTTTCACAAGGTAACATGTACTTGATTTTGGTTCATAAGGCCGATTTTTGATTCGTTGCATCATTCATGTCTCTTTCCTGCTAAAATTCACTATTTTTATCACGTGTTTCCCAAAAAACTATACAACAATAAGCTATACACCCCATTACATTATCCAATTTCATACCTCACCTTTGGGCGGTCTGGATCAACTAGCTTACTTAGGAGACAGAAGTCAGAGCTTTCACATCGCCCCTTCCTCCGGCCAACTGGTCGGGGCCCACGCTAGTGACATTTTATGTTGAGATTGTGGCTAAACCACCATTTCATACATACATATAGAAATCACATATCGATTTAACCTCTGATATAAAAAAATTCCAGTGGACCGTATGGTTGGGTTTTAGAAAGACGACTGATATTAGGGGTGTTCAAGCGGTGTGATTACCGTGGTAACCATTTTAACCGGTACTATTTGGATAATTTGGTTTGGTTAATGTGGATAATTGGTTTGGTTTGGTTAAAGTTTTTAGCTTGTTTAGTTTAGGTGGTTTGGTTTAGTTTCAGACACTCCTAACCAGTCAAACTAAATTAACCAGTTAAGTAATTAGCCATATATATAATATATATTATATACACATACTTAATACTTTGCATAACCACTCAAGAGTTAAACTTGCATCCCTTTTAGACTCATAAAATACAAAGCTAAATATTGCTCCTATAGTGTATATTTGTATATGTAGAGTGTAGACAACAACATATGGATGCCTAAGTCAATTCACACAAACACAATAATTCATTAACCTATACCATTGTCATTAAATTTTGTTAGGTGAATACTTCTATACTAATCGTAAGATAATTTTCGTAGTTGCATGTATTTATGTTAAGGGTCAACTATAACTATGTGTTGCTTGTTATGTTTTATTCATTATATAAATTGCGAATTGATGCATTAACCGGAAAAAAAATTCACTTAATAATAATGTGATTTTATATTGGTTAATCTGGTTAACCAATTGACCAAACCATGATAACCGTTTGAACACTCCCCTAGATACCACACATTTTCATTCACTAGAGTTGGAATGAAAAGTTAGAATTCCCTCGCCTCCCGATGGCATACTTTGATGAAGAAATACTCATGGATATAGGCAACAAAATTGGCAGAGTTGAGAAGATTGACTATAACACATCAAACGGCTTTCGAGGTAACTATGCTAGGATTTGTGTGGAATTCGATATGAACAAAAGGCTTGTCTCCAAGTATTGACTTAAGAGAAGAATAAGACGCATTGAATATGAACGGTTACACACAGTTTGTTTCTAGTGCGGGTGCCATGGGCATCTTGAAGAGAGATACCCCAAATCTCATACCAACGAACAACAAACTACGAAAGAAGGGATGAATTCTACAGGTTCCAAGAGCATTCCCGAGGTCAGGCCAGAAATCATAGAAGACTACGAGCCATGGATGCTTGCATCCAGGCCAAGAAGGAGGAAACATCATACCAAAAACAAGAATGAGAATGGGAAAATTAAGGAGGTGAGGAACAACAAGAACCATGTGGGCACAGGATTACGCTTCGATGCTCTGGAAGAGAACAATGAAGACTCCTACACTAGTGAGGAGGAGGAAGAGGTGTCTCCCCACGAGATGGCTGTTGAGGGAAACAATGAGGATCAGCTGGAGGTACCGGACGCGGCAGCATCAATTAAGGAACAAGTTGGCGAGCCACAAAATGATGGAGACTAGAGGAAACATACACAAACTAAAAATCAAGGAAGAAAGAAGGAGGGTGCCAGTTCTGCAAAAGTAGCAGCGGTTCAAAACAACAAAGGTAAGAAGATCCAGATGAAGAAAGACCACCAGAAGCCAACACCACAAATAAATAAAGAAAAGATGAAGTCATTAGGAAACAAGCTTGATACCAGCAGTACCATTCGAAGGCTTGTTGCCTCTGTAAGAGGGAAAGGGGAGACAAATTTGACCTCCAAGGCCATGGCACATCCCAACCCTAAATTGCAAGGTTTTAAACAGGTCCAATCCGTTGGAGGCCTTGTTGGGCATCAACCCAAAATGAAAGGCACCACCACCCTTGCTGCCAGCAAAACTGTCAAGGGAAAGGCTAATAGATCCCCAGAAAATGGGAAATGCAACCCCAGGAAGATCGAATTCGACCAGAACCCAGGGGCTTCCAATCCTTTGCCAGAAGATGCAATCGGGACGGAAGTGTCTAGCAGTACCACTCCAACTGAGGGGAAAAAGATGGTGATGGGCGTCGACATGGAATGATCTTCCCTTTAGTGGAAGCAGGGGAACCTTTTCCAATCATCTTAATGATTAAAGTTTTCTCCTGGAATTTTCAGGGTGCAAAGCACCCTAAGTTTCGCTCTACCTTTGATTTGTATAAGAACATACATTCCCCTATTGTGGTTTGTATCCTAGAACCCAGGATAAGTGGTGATGACGCAGATGAAGTCATCAAAAGCCTTGGCTTCGACTCTTGGAAAGTCTTAGATGCCATTGGATTCAATGGCGGAATTTGGGTCCTCTAGAATAGTACTGAGATGGACCTTGAAGTCCCCGACAAGAAAAAACAGTTCATCCATCTATGCTGTAAGATGGGAGGTAAAGAGATTTGCCACTTTACTGCGATTTATGCAAGCCCTAATGAGTACGAAAGAGGAGAGCTCTGGCAAGCTATCCGAGGCATTAGCAGAAGAACCTCTGTCCCATGGCTGATAACTAGGGACTTCAACTCAATCCTCAACTCCTCGGAGAAGCAAGGTGGAGCTCCTTTCAATGCTGCCAAGACTAGAGCCTTCAACGAGTGTATTGAGGATTGTGGACTCATTGACTTGGGATTTACAGGACCCAAGTTTACATGGTTCACTATTTCATCCAGACTCAAAGAGAGACTTGACAGAAGTTTGTGGAACTTGGAATGGCACCAAACGTTCCCTGATTCTACAAACCTTCATTTGCCTTAGATCAAGTCGGACCATCGTCCTATTATCACAAGCAACAAAAGACAGCAAGGTGGCAAGAGATTGGTGAGACGCTTCCAATTCCTTGCATCCCGGATTCATCACAAAGACTTCTTTCCTTTTGTTTCTTCCTCTTGGAACTGTGGCAGTGATTTGTGTCCCTCTTTGCAGGTCCTGGCGACGCAACTCCAACAATGGAACAAAGACACCTTTGGGAATATCTTCCGCAGGAAAAAGCATCTCCTTAGCAAGCTCTATTCGTTGGAATTTCTCAATGAAAGGTCCCCAATCAGGCAGTCGATTGAGAAAGAAGGAAAAGTTAGAGAAGAGCTTGAAGAAACTTTGTGGCAGGAAGAGATCATCTGGCTCCAAAAGTCTAGAGCAAATTGGATCCTACACGGAGATCAAAATCCCCGTTTCTTCCACAATAGTACTTTGAATAGAAGGAAAGAGAACAGAATATTGGGCCTGAAGGGAGACAATGGGGAATGGGTTACTGATCCTATTGTGCTTCAGATGATGGCAAGAAGCTTCTTTGTTACTCTCTACACAAGAGAAGAAAAGGAAGATTGGCCTAGCATTGCTGTTGAGTTCCCAAAACTTGACGCTAACCGGATGAAATTGCTGAGTGTCGTCCCAAGCTTTGAGGAGATCAGAAGTATCGTCATGAACATGAGTAGCCTGAAAGCTCCTGGGAAAGACGGGTACCAAGCTCTGTTCTTCCAAAAGTGTTGGGACTTGGTGGGGCACGACTTCTATAGATTTGTGGTAGATTGCTTTAGAGAGCGAGGAAGGATTCGACGGGCGAGGAAGAATTCGACACGACTTCTATAGATTTGTGGTAGATTTGTAGTAAATATTAAATAGTTTAAGATTCATAATTAAATCTTTCCCAACAACTTGAGTTGTTGATACTAAACGGTCTTGACAAAGAGCACCATTCAAAAGCAAATATCTAACTAAATTATGAATATTTTTTTCGGTAATAAATTATGAATAATTTTTCGATACATACAGAGTGATATTTTTTATAGTCATATATTTAATTTACCAAATTTTTGTAAATAAATAATTATATCATGAATGATTTAATCATTTAACAAAATTATTTTATCTTATGTATATTTTTTTCTAAATGGACCCACCCTCCATAAAATCCTGGCTACACCCCTGTTTGCAGCTGACTACTTAGCTTATATCGGGCACGAGTTTCCTTTTGGCACACATCTATTCGATGTGTGCGACCCGAAACTTTGCTCTTGGCTCTCCTACGGGAATTTCCCAAGACCCTTTAATCTATATGAACTAGGATGCACTGCATCCTGTCTTCTACCCAAAAATAAAAGTTTGAACTGAAAGAAGACGGTTAAAAAGTAAAAACTAATCATTGGATTCAGGCGGGGTAAGATTAAGAAGATGAAAAGGTAAAACCCGATAAACCCTCGATCTCCTTATATATAAGCGGAGAAACCCCTTCCCTCTTCCACGTATCTCAACGCGCTCCAAACAAAACAAACGGGGCGTAAGAAAAAGAGAGTTTTTGCAGCAGCGGCCGCCATTTCTGTTTGGCTTCGTCCCCTCCCCCATTTCTATACTTTTTGGAGACATATTTTTTGCCACTGAGAAGAAGAGTGTGGTGATGCAGCAGAAAGGGAGGCTCACAAACCGTCGATCCAGAAGCTTTTCCAGGTCCCGTATCGCCATTCAGGGGTACTAGCCTCGTAGGCAGCAGTATAATTATTGTTCCCCCCCAAACTCTCGGAGAAAAATTTTCACCTCCACATTTCTCGATCTCGCTTGTAAACGAGAAACAACCGGGGAAAAAGCACCGCGAGATCAGCAATGGCGGCCAATGGCGCAGTACCTGGTACGATTACTAACTCTGGCTTCAATTGTATCCATTTCTCCTCTTTTTTTTCTTCAGCAACATCGTTATTCGTTTTGGGGGGTCGTAATTATTCTGTGTAACTTGCAGTGGTGGAACGTGAAGTTCAGAAGAACTACTGGATGGAGCATTCCGTTGATCTGACGGTGGAGTCCATGATGCTCGACTCAAAAGCCTCTGACCTCGACAAAGAAGAAAGACCTGAGGTTCAATCCTGCTCACTTTGTTCTATGCGCATTACTCGTCCTCACTTTTACATTTCATTAGTAGGTGATTTTTCCAAATCAGTAATTTCACTAATTTGTCCTGTTCTTGTTCGAGCTTTCGCTTTCATGGTTGGTTGGCTGCTTAAGCATAGTATTAATAAAAAAAATTAAGCTATGATTAGAGGACTCATCTTACTTGCTACTTAAAATGGAAACGTCAAACTATCAATTTCTGCGTCTCGGTGACTGATATTTCACACCACTATTGTATCAGAACCTTCTCTGATCCATGGAAACAGTAATTACTAAGCTTTTTCTTCTTTCAAATCGAGTCTTTGGCTGATCATTCATGCAATAAGCCTAGCAGCAACTAGCAAAGCTCTGGTTTCTTGAGATTGGATCCTGAAGCTTAAAACCATTCCTGATTTTTGAAGGGTGTTTGGTGTAATTCTTTAAAGAATAATCGGGCTTACTTACTGTCACTATGAGCTTTCAGTTTTGGGTTGGTGGTGTTGACTTGAATGATTTGGGTGTCTGGGTTATGAACAGGTACTTTCTCTGCTCCCACCGTATGAAGGGAAATCAGTTCTGGAACTTGGAGCTGGCATTGGCCGTTTTACTGGACAGATAGCTAACAAGGCTGGCCAAGTCATTGCTTTGGATTTCATTGATAGCGTGATCAAGAAGGTGCGGTGTCTTGTGTCTCTTCTTTGATACTAAGCTATTTCCGACTTGGATATGCTTATAAATCCTACACTGCTTCTATCTCTTTGTATGTTACCTATTGCAGAATGAGGATATCAATGGTCACTTTAAGAATGTCAAGTTCATGTGTGCTGATGTAACATCACCAGACCTCAACTTTTCAGAAGGATCCATGGATTTGATTTTCTCCAACTGGCTGCTTATGTATCTCTCAGATGCTGAGGTGAATATTCTTGTATATTCGACAGGGATGCGTGTCTGAAACCTTAAGCTTATGCTTCTTTGCTTCAATTGTATTATTGCATATGAAGACATGATGGAGTTGGTTCTGAATTATGGATCTGAACCATTATTTTCTTAGGCGTGTCTGCTAACATAAAGACTTTTTTTTTGTGTTCCATATTCAAATTTTATAGCAGTAGTGAGCCTTGTTCATGTTTTCTTTTGTTGGAGACTGATATAATTGTGTAATATTGACTCGGGACTTTAGGTGGAAACCCTGGCTCAAAGAATGGTGAAGTGGCTAAAACCTGGCGGGTTTATTTTCTTTAGGGAGTCCTGCTTCCATCAATCTGGAGATAGCAAAAGGAAAAGTAACCCGACTCACTACCGCGAGCCAAGGTTCTACACGAAGGTCAGTTTCAAAATCACCCGCTGAATACGCCAGTTTTGGGGGTTTGTATAGGGATTACCTTCCTTGTACCCAGATATTGAATGCTGTCTCCTTATTCAACTTGACTTTGGTTCAGCAAGTGGTCTCTACGGGGATGTGTACTTTGGTTTCAATGCATAATACTTGTTTAACAAATTTCAGGTATTTATGGAGAGCCATATGCATGATGATGCTGGAAATCCCTATGAGCTCTCTTTCATCGGATGCAAATGCATTGGAGCGTACGTGAGGAACAAAAAGAACCAAAATCAGGTAATACTCCTAAGGAGATCAGGTCATTTCCTAAGGTTCTTCGTCGGATATGAAAGATCTTAACTTCAGATTACGCCCTACTTTGCAGATTTGTTGGATATGGCAGAAGGTCCAGTCGCAGGATGATAAAGGATTCCAGCAATTCTTGGACAATGTTCAGTACAAGTCCAATGGAATTCTACGTTATGAACGTGTATTTGGGCAAGGTTTTGTGAGCACTGGAGGCCTAGGTATTCTACGTTTCAGTGTTTTTTAAGCTTGTGCAAAACTTGTGCATTTGCTACTTTGATGAAAGCAATTAGAAGGTTAGCTATTGAGTTAAGCAATATGTTCGGTTTGCAGAAACAACAAAGGAGTTTGTGGCAAGGTTGGATCTGAAACCTGGTCAGAAGGTTCTAGACGTTGGCTGTGGTATTGGTGGAGGTGATTTCTACATGGCTGAGACCTTTGATGTTGAGGTGGTTGGGATTGACCTCTCAATCAACATGATCTCGTTTGCTCTGGAGCGTGCTATTGGACTCAAATGCGCAGTTGAATTTGAGGTTGCTGATTGTACCAAGAAGACATACCCAGATAACTCCTTCGATGTTATCTATAGCCGTGACACCATTCTCCATATTCAGGTAAAGACTTCACCGCGTGGTTTCATGTTCAGTCAAGTTCTCAAAGCTGTCTTGGGAATCTGGGAAGTCACTCTTCTTTCATATGATTTTTGCAGGACAAACCAGCACTGTTTAGGGCATTCTTCAAGTGGCTGAAGCCTGGAGGCAAAGTTCTCATCAGCGATTACTGCAAGAGCGCTGGAACTGCTTCACCTGAATTTGCAGAGTATATTAAGCAGAGAGGATATGATCTTCATGACGTGAAAGCATATGGCCAGGCACGTGCATCTCTACGATAGATCAGACTCTTGTTGTGGCCCTTTATTTTGGTTTTTAGCTTACTGATTTTGCTTTTTGTTATGCGGGTGATATAGATGCTTAAAGATGCTGGTTTTCAAGAGGTCGTAGCTGAAGACCGCACAGATCAGTTTAACCAAGTTCTGGTGCGGGAACTGGATGCTATAGAGAAAGAGAAGAATGCATTCATTCAGGACTTTTCTCAAGTATGCTCTCCATCTCCTCTTCATGATCTCTATCAACCGTCTTGCACTCATAACTCAAATCTTTTAAACGCTCAAATTTATGGTCCAATTCTTCTTTGCAGAAAGATTATGACGATATAGTCGGCGGATGGAAGTCGAAGCTTGTCAGGAGCTCTGCCGGCGAGCAGCGATGGGGCCTGTTCATTGCCAAGAAGTAATTTCCTGGCCAGCCAGTCAGTCCGCTCCTTTGTCCTATCAGTCAAGACATCAGTTTAGCCAGTGATAGTGAATCCCTCTACTGTGTTCTTAGTCACTCTCTGTGTCGGAATAAGATCCACCCTTCCTTTCTGCTGCTATTAAGCTCACTCTGAGGTTAACGTGCTCGTTGAAGACTTGAAACTAGTGTTGAATTCGCAAGTTGCTGCTGCATTGTGATTCTAGTCTCCCAAGACATAGTTCTTTTAAGTTCAAATATTGTAGCATTATGATTGTTTTGTACTCTCTTGAACAATTCTCTTGTTTTCTGTCAAATGGTTTGAAGTTTGAACTGTCTCCTATTCTGAACACTCGCAAGAACATTCCAAATCAATACATTAAAGATCAGTAATGGCCGGAACGCCTTCGTTAGTTCTTCACACCACAGCTTCATCTGCGAACTACATACTGTCCCACCATTAAGGGTAGGGATGTGAATTCGAAATGGACGACGGACGAAAGCCAATTACTTCAAATCCAAACTTATCTAAGCCTCATAACACGATTTAACAAGTTAAGGAACATGCACCGCACTCCTACCATCACTTTTTCTCTCACCAGGGTATCAGCATTCTTGATCCGTTTTGACTCTCAAGGCTATCTGGGATCCGCTCAAGCCTTCCAGGACTCCCCCTTCATATATCTAACCATACTGGCCCAAAGAATAATGAGGTAAACCCTAAAATGGAACATGACAGAGCCCTCCATGTCAGTCAGAGAAAGGGATGTGGAGAAGCATATAACAGATGGCACTCACAGGGTTTAATGCAAGCATCTTTGGTTCCTGGAAAGATTCCGGCAGCCGCAGCATATTACTCCAAAGCTGGATGTTGGCATTCTGTCTTGTTGTTTCTCCCAACAACTAATAGTTGTCAGATATCTGACAGCGTATCTTTGCTTTGGCTTATTTCAGAAAATGGATGGGTGCCTGGCTTCTTAAGCTCTGTAGCAAATTCATATGCCATATAGATTCGTATTCTTTGGCATTCTTTTAGTTATAGGTATTTCAGCAAAGTGTTGCTAGGTTAACCTGCATGAGTAACATGGAATAAGAAATTGTATCTGAGTGATAACTTATTCTGAAACATCCACAGCATGCAACAGTTTGATTGCAGCTAAGCAGATTTGAAGGATGCATTGTATGTGCGAGGCATCCTACAGCATGCAGTAGAAAAAACAAAGACCTGCATTGCAAAAGCTCTTATAAGAGATCCCCGATTCTCGAGGCCAAGTACACATACAGAACGAACTTCCTAGGTTGTGCAACTCAAAAGATAAATATGCATTTATATTTTATGAGCTTGACCGGAATCACTGAAGTTTCATGCATGAGCACGTAATTAAAGGAGAAAGCTCTATGTAACACCGTAGACGCGATACTAATGTACTATGATTCGTGCATCGAGCAAAATCACAAACCTTGTTCTCTTTCGAGTTGCAAGAATTGGGTGCACATTGGTTTGTCGAACTTGAACCCAGCCACCTCTGCTTCCTTCCAGATTACCTTCGACTTTGCCAGTCTTCCAGAAGCCATATGTACTTTAACCAAGTCCTTGTACATATCATAAGTTGGGGAGAAACCTGCTTCCTTGAGTTTCGAAAAATATCTGGAAGCCCTTTGCAGATCATTCAAGGCAACACAAATCTTTATAATCACACGATAAGCCGGGAGATCAAGTAGAACATTTGAACCCTCCATTTCCCAGACAACAGCCAGCGCATCCCGATACTTTTTCTCTGTGTACCGGCTGTGGATCAAAGTTGTGTACATAACCACACTTGGTTCCCTTCTTGATAGTTTAAACCAATCACAAAGACCTTCCACAATCTCAAATTTCCCAAGCCTAATGCTGACTTTCATGAGAGCAGTGCAATCCTGCTGGGTTAAATTCAATGCGTCCCTATTTCCAAGCTCCTCCAGTAACTCTGCTACAAGTGAGTGTTTGTCTGGATTCTTTATCAACTCGAGGGCTAACTTGGCATATATACCTGCATCCAACACTCTATTGTCTCGCTTAGCAACGGAGACAAGTTTCAAAGCGAGCTGTAACTTTCCACCTCTAATGAATCCCCTAATCATTGCCTCCATGACACCTCGGCTTGCCAAAGTAGTGAGGCTCTGCCAGTCAAATGGTACTTTCAAGTCGTGATTCCGTGCTAACACTTCAACAGTAGAAGCCAAAATCCTATCATCAGGGACAAGGTCAGGTTGATTCTGAGCCCAACAAAATGTCTCCAGTGCTCTCTCAGGGAGACCCATGTGACCCAGCTCTCGAATAGTCAAAGATAACGAACCTTTACTGAGAAAGCGAGCATGCTTCTTTAGAACAAGAGATGCATTTTCATCAGTCTTAAGGCCACTAATCCGTTTAGCCAAGTCAATGAGAAAAACTGGGTTCTTGTGAAGTTGATTGGAAATTGACGACGGGGTTGAAACAGCTGACTTCGGAGGGACAAACTTATATCGCTTCTTCGGGGTAGGGAGTCGTAAAGGCCTAATCTTGTGAGGAAGGGGAAGTGGCAATGGCCTTTCTCTGGTCAACTTGCCTGGCTTTTGAGGGATCCTACCCTGAAAGAGGGAGGATATTGCTTCAATCTCGTCTTGTTCCCAATCAATAAGGTCCTCATGGTTCCCATCTTCCTCAACCTCACCTGCAGCTTCAGCTTCTTCCTCATCGTCAGAAGAATCACCATTGTCATGTATCAAAAGAGACTCAGTAGTTGGCTTCTTGAGGAACAAGTTGACCCCAAAATCCGGGGGAAGCTTAGAGCGTCGAGGGCTCTGATGATTCTTGCGCAGCTTTCTATACCCAACTCTGGTAGTGGAGCTGAAACGAGGAACTAAAGTCAGCAGTCCACAAGCTGGGGCTCGGCCAACAACTACTGAGCACACACATGCCATTGACAGTCTTTTCAGGCATCTGGTATTCATAAAGCAAACAGAGAACTCAGGAACATCGTAAATGGGGAAACTTTTCACTAGAAGGGGAACCAAATTCAGTAAATCAAGCTGGGCCAAACACTCTAAATAGGGTTCTATTCATTGTAAGGAAATACACCCAAAAATCGGCGTAAGCTAGTTCTCAGGCGCCGCTGGTTTATTCTGCTAGGGAATGGCGTTCCACATTCGTGTAGACGGGAGGGGCGACCTCTACGCTGGGAATTCGTCTTGAGGCGCTTTGTAGTTGAGCTTCGGCTTGGTGTGACGCCGAAATTGAAAGGATAGATAGAAGCTTTGCACAGCCACAGGGCGACGAATTGAAATTTGAGACGAAGAAGGATCATCGTCCCCCGCCTCCATTCAGCAATGCCGTTTTGGTTTGTGAAGAGTGTCGTTTGTTGCCCGGGCTCATACTGCTGGTAAATCAACCGGCCAATAATTGGTCAGGCCCAAACAAATGGAATAAAGAGGAAATGGGGCTTTTCTATGGCTCACTGAGTAAGAGTACGGATTTTTAAAACAAAACCAAAATTCTACTCAATTTTAAGGGGTTAATTGTATGGTTGGTCATTGAGATTACAAAAAACGTTCAAGTTTGATCATTCGAAATATTTAAATTAATTGGTGGTACTTCAATTTACTGAAATTGTTCACATTTGGTCACTCTCCGTCCAACTCCGTTAACTTTGGCTGATGTGGCAGTCAACTTTCAAAGTTGACCGTTAACTTAGTGACATGTCAGTTAAAAAATAATAAATAAAATAAATTTTAATATATTAAATGTCCAACTCATTTTTACCATAAAATAAATAAATAAAATAAAATAAAAATTATTTTAATTATCAAATTGAAAGGGATTGGGGAAAATGGCTTGGAGCATCGGTCCTGTTTCTCTCTGCAATGTGGGGATTGAAGACAGAGCAAGCAGGGGGAAAGAATACTCCATTGACGAACACACCTGCCTCCAATTCCCAAACTCAAAAAAAAACCCAGATCCGTGGTGTATGTTTGCTTCGGGACCTTAGCGAATTTCTCAGATCCCCAATTGAAGGAAATCGCGGCCGGGCTTGAGGCTTCGGGGCGGGAATTCGTGTGGGTGGTCAAGAGGGAGAAAAACAGGGGAGGAGGAATTGACGACGGCGGCGGCGATGACAACTGGCTGCCGGCGGGATTCGAGGAGATGATGGAAGGGAAAGGGCTGATAATTCGGGGGTGGGCCCTACAGGCGCTGATTCTGGACCACTTGGTGGCGAGCGGATTCGTGACGCACTGCAGGTGGAACTCGACGCTGGAAGGGATCATGGTCGGGTTGCTGATGTTTACGTGGTCGGTGACGGCGGAGCAGTTCTACAACGAGAAGCTGTTAATTGAGATCGTGGGGATTGGGATCGCGGTGGGGGCGAAGCAGCTGTACGGGGTGAAGGTGGGGAGCGGAGGGGTGGCAGATGCGATGGGGCAGATGATGGCGGAGGAGGGTGAGGAGGCGGCGGAGATGAAGAAGGCCGACGAGCTGCAATCTAGTTATGCTCCTAACAGGGTATTTTGTTAGGAGATACTGACATGGCTGGATGGGCCTCCACGTCGCCAAGCCGCCATCCATCGGTGGAGGAGAAAACGCGCTGGCCCGTGTGAAAGATGAGAGCCGATTCCATCGGCTGGGCCAAGCCCACTGCAGCTGGCGGGGCCCACTAATTCAAAAACCCAAAAAAAAAATCCTAAACCCTAACCCAAATCACTTTCCCCAAATCAGTTTCCCCCCTCTCTCTCCCCCCGTTTCTCTCTCCTTTTCCTCTGCCTTTCTTCCTCTCCCCGAACGCAGACGACGCGCGGTGATTGGAACTCGGCGGCAGCAAATCTAGGCGGCGGCGGCGACGATCTAGGCAGCGGCGGCGACCTTGCAGCGAAGGAGGATATCTCGGCGGCGCGAACTTGCTGCGAATCGGAGATATCGGCGGCGACGTCTTGCAGCGAAGGCGGAGATCTCGGCGGCGGCGGCGAAGCAGCGAAGTCGGAGTCTCGACGGCGGCGACCTTGCACGAAGGAGGAGATCTCGGCGGCGACTACTCTGCAGCAAACTCGGCGGCGACGACTCTGCAGCAAACTCGGCGGCGGCATCTCGGCGGCATCGATCTTGTCGGCGGCGACGAAGCAGCGACCTCGGCGGCGACGGTTTGCAGGTGACTCGGGTTTTGTGGAATGTTTCGTGGATATTAGGTTTGGTTTGGACAGATATGAGTTAGGGTTGCATGATTCGTTCTTTTGTTGATTTTATTTCTGGGTTTTGTGGAATGGCTTTCTGTTTGTGTCGATGTTAGTTAGGGTTGTGTCGATATTAGATCTGTTTGTGTCGATATTAGTCATGTTTGTGTCGATGTTAGTTCTGTTCGAGCATGATATGAGTTGTTACATTCCTGGATAGTTGTTTTATAGGATCTGGGTATTTGTCTTTGCAGGTGATTTATCAATGGCAAAGACAAAAACATCAGGGAAGAGAGCTCCAATGACTTCACCCCATCCACCACCACCACCGCGACAGCGAGAGGAAGATGAGGAAAAAGATGATGCTGTAGACGAAGCAGAAACAACTGCACAAGAAGATACTGAGGTCGAAGCAGAAACAACTACATCACAGCAAGATGCTGAACTCGAAGCAGAAACAACTGCACAAGGAGCAGCTCGAGGTCGGAAAAAGCTGAGGTACAGATTACAGATATTATATTGTTTATTTTGCTTGTATTGTTTCTTTGATATATCTGGATATTGGTTTTGGCAAGCATGATATCAGTTGTAACTTGCCTGGATGTTTGTTTGATTTATCTGAATATTTGTTTGACATATCTGGATATTCCTTTTATATATCTGGATATTGGTTTTGGCAAGCATGATATCAGTTGTAACTTGCCTGGATAGTTGTTTGATTTATTTGAATATTTGTTTGAGATATCTGGATATTTGTTTTGGCAAGCATGATATCAGTTGTAACTTGCCTGGATAGTTGTTTGATTTATTTGAATATTTGTTTGAGATATCGGGATATTTGTTTGATTTATCTGGATATTTGTTTGACCAATCTAGATATTTGTTTGATATATCTGTATATTTGTTTGTGCATGGATTTATCAATGGCAAGAAATAAAAGGATCGCGAAGAGAGCGCGAAGGAATCCACCGCCATTGCGAGAGGAGGATGAGGAAGAAGATGCTGGACAAGGAGCTGCACCAAAATTGGATATTCTAGGACAAGGCAAGCCGTGGTACAGATTTCGGTGCCATACCAAATCTCTCCTAGATGTTATTAATTACTGGAAGGAAGAGCCAAGGTACTATGAAGCATGTAAGAAAGAGTTGGAGAAGGCTGGATTTGGAGGGTTATTGGAGCTTCGATTGGCAAATTTTCCAAAGAAGTTGTTCGATACCTTGATGGCACAGTACGACTTGGTCACCAGTTCATTCATTTTCGGTGAAGGGGAGAACAAGAAGGTGCTGACAATCGAAGCTGAGGATGTTGCCCGTGTTTACGGCCTTCCTATTGGTGGAGCTGAGATTGATGTCGTTAGGTCGAACGACAAGATGCTTGATATGTTCTTGGAGGAGCTCAATATCGAGTGTAATCGAAGTCGAAATGTCGAAGTCTTGGATCTTAAAGAGGCAGCCTGTGGTGGTCCCGATGACGCACCGAAAAGGAGACCACCTGTTGCAGCCGCAGTGAAGCAGTTTTTGTTGCTGGCTCTAGGTTCGATGCTTATCCCAAAGATGTCACGACTTTGTGATCTCGATTATGCCGAGTATCTTGTTGGAAGGGTGGAAGACATTGCCACTTTTAATTGGAGTGGTTTTGTTGCCCGCAATCTGAAGTTTGAGTTGTCTCGTGCTAAGGAGAACGAAGCTGAACTAAGGCATCTTGGTAAACAGCAATGGCCTCTCGGAGATATCCACTTCTTAATGGTAACTTCTCCTTTAACATTGTTGATATTGTTTATTTGATTTGCTTAGGATATTAGTGTTTGTGCCTTTGATGTTAGTTTCGCTGCTTAGGATATTAGTTTTTTCTATTTCTGATATTTGATTTCTTTGCCTTTGATATTAGTATTGCTGCTTAGCAGGGGCGGAGCTAGGAATTAAAGTTTTCGGGGGCCGAAGTTCGTTAGTACATAACCGCAAAAATATATAATTTTTTTTTATAAAGACATAACATTAGTTAAAATAATCAAAATAGAATTAATTTAAAGTATTCTAGTATGCTATGTTCAAAATAAATGATTATACTATGAAAAAATTATCATGCACTTTACCATGTAATTTTTTCAATATTATTATACCTTGCATATGAATTTATGATTATATTAGTGTTTATATGAATTATTATTTAATTACATATCCAAAACACATCCATGAAATATTAATGTAAAAGTTGAATAACTTGACTAACGTTATTTGAAATCATCGGAGTTATAAGACCAAGCAGGAAACTTGAAGAATTAAACTGAAAATAAAATAAATAAAAAAGTTAAAATAATAAAAAAGCTGCTGCCTACCAGGCTCGAACCTGGTACCTCTTGGCTAATATTCAACTACAAATCCGCTAGACTAGAAGAAGATTATGTTAATAATGTGTCACTCGGATTTTAAATATATTTATCGTTGATTTTATACGTAATTCTCGAAAGTTCCTAGGACTTTATACGTAAGTTTCGAAATTCTCGGGGGGGCCGGAGCCCCCCCGAGAGCCTACATAGTTCCGCCCCTGCTGCTTAGGGTATTAGTTCTTTTCATTCGTGATATCTGTTTTGTTTGCTAGTGATATTAATAACTGTGCATGGGATAATAGTTGTTTCATTTCTGATATTTGTTTTGAACTTTTTTTTATAGATCCATTTGCTGGACTTCCTTAATGTGAGAGGGTTTGCCACAAAAACCATCCCTACCTGCAGCTATTGGTTCGAGCCTAGGGTGGACAAGGTGTGCGGTAATATCCCCAAGGAAGCTGAGAAGTATCTTCTTGGTCCGATGTTGTTCTCAAGAGAAGAAGTCAAATCCCGCTTCCGTCCTGCACGTGTCAGGAGGGATTTGGAATTTGGATCAAGCAGCTCGGCTTCTACTACTGAATGGTGGAAGGATGTTGATTTGGAAACCCTTGATGATGATGAGGTATGTATATATTCTCTCTGCAACTCAAAATAATGGGTTAGTGGCCATGGGTGTTTGTAGTGAACTAAATTTGTTTTCAATATATGTGTAGCTTAAGGCATTGGAGTCCATGACTGAAAAAATGATGGATGTATGGGAGTCAAGGCGGGATAGTGTTTGGAGAGTTGTCATTTTGCGCCATCAAGGAACCAAATGATCTTGGCAAATTTTCTCTCTTTAATTGGATGTAATGTGCTTGTTGGGATTTGATCTTTGCCATGTTGGAATGGCTTGAACATTAAGATTTCTGTTTCTTGTTGGGATTTTATCTTTGCCATGTTGGAATGGCTTGAACATTCAGATTTCTGTTTATTGTTGGGATGTTATCTTTGCCATGTTGGAATGGCTTGAACAAATTGTTTGTTCTGGATATTATTTATTTTCATGATTGCATCGAACATGTGCTGTATGTTTGGATATTACTCTGTGTTGTCAGGGTAATTGATTCAAATTATGTTTGGATATTGTTCTGTGCGTTCTGGATAACAGCTCCCTCATGATTGGATATTACTCTGGCAGTTTGGATAATAATTTAGTGTGCTTGTACGTGTTTTTACAGCGACCAAAACAAAGAAGGAAAAGGGGCAAAGTGGCGAAATCTTCTTCGACTTTGGTCTCTGTGACCAAAGCGAGGATGAAAAAGGATGGAGACGGGAAAGGCAAGAACATGTGCAGCCGCTTCGACTCTCGGAGAATACCTGAGAAGACAGTCTTGTCTATTGTCGAGCCTGAGGTCGACATGCCTGTTGATAAGTCCAATATTGAGATGGAGGTGGAGCCAGAGTCAGTTGCCGTTACTGAGATGGAGGTGGAGGTAGAGTCAGTTGTCGCTACTGAGCTGGTTCGGGAGCCAGATGGAGTTGTCGAGCCTGAGGTCGACATGCCTGTTGTTAAGTCCACTACTGAGATGGAGGTGGAATCAGAGTCAGTTGTTGCTACTGAGATGGAGGTGGAGTCAGAGTCAGTTGTTAGGACTGAGCTGGTTGGGGAGCCAAATTCTGTTTGTTTCGAGTCTGAGGTGGAGGTCTCTGTTGTTCAGTCGGGAGAGCCAGGCGTGCAGTCGACTGTTAATCCACTTAAGGAGATGGGGGAGCCAATCGAGCAGAGTATGGGTACATCTCCGACTACGGTAATATTTCTCTTACCATTAGCCTCTAGTATGGGTTTTTTGGATATTTGTTACTTTATGAGTAGATACTGGAAATCTTTTGCAGATACCTGTCGAGTCAACTACTGCTGCCCAGGAGAGTATCACAATGGTCCCGACTGAGGTTCTAACTCAAGGATTAGCAGGACCATCAGAGGATGAGCTTATAGCAGCAGCATGTGAGCTGATGGAGGATAGAGACCCGGATACGACATTCGCGAATGTGATGCAGATTGGTTTCCAAGCCACTGCTACCGCTGAAGAGAGTATCAAGACATCTCCAACTACGGTAATATTTCTCTTACCAATAGACATTAGTATGGGATTGCTGGATATTAGTTTCTTTTTGCATGGATAATATCATTGGCTGCCAGGATATTGTTTTCGTATTGAGTGGATACTATCCTGGGCGTTTATGATATTGATTTCTTTTGTTATGGATACTAGCTTGGGCTTGCTGGATATTTGTTTCTATATGAGTAGATACTGGCCATGTTTTGCAGTTTCCTTTCAAGTCAACTACTGCTGCCCAGGAGGATAGCGACGATGATATTATCATCTCTGAGTGCATTAAGAGTGCGGAGGAGGCAGAGTATTTGTACTCTATCACACCGGAAGCTTGGAAAGCAACCCTAAAAACTCCAGAGTTTGATAGGTCAAAACACCACCCCTTCGGCGAATCAATGTACGTTCTGCCAAAGACTATGTCGACGAAACTCGACGTTACAGCTATGCAAGTGGTTGACTTCATATTCAGTACTCCTGCTCCAGCCAAGTAAGTTGATAATTGAGGAGTTATTTAATCACCAATTTCAATTTGCCCAACCCAAATTTCTAAACTGGTTTTCATTTTTGTTTTATAGTGAGAAATTTGTAGTGGATACTCCAACCGGTACCCTTTCCCGTGAGCAGATACATTCATTGAAGGGTAGAAGTTGGTTGCATACCCAAATACTTGTAGTATACGGGAATTTGATAAATTACAAAGAAGCAGGCAATGAGGTGGTGCAAAGAATTGTCTTCCCATGGAGTTATGTAGTAAGTATTATCTTCACTGCTTAGATACTATTCATATTTAAAATATCTAATTTCATATTGTTGTCTCTTCTAAATAGCAATATGCCGTCAATACTGCTTATTCGAACCAACCCATGGACAAGGCGAGACTAGATGCATGGATTCATCTGCACAAATACAATCCAATGCTGAAACGGGAAAACTTGGAAAGATGTGATTACGTAAGCGACTCTGCTAGTTTGAATTTTTTTTATTTTTCATAGATATTTGTATGGGTTTATAGGATATTATATTGGAATTTGAGATATTAATTTGGGTTATTAGGATATTAGTCAATGATAAACTCACAAACTGCTTTGTGTTACAGATATTTTTTCCAATGTATCGAAATGATCACTACCGGGTGTACGTGGCTGACATGAAGAATAGGAGGACTTTCGTACTTGACAGCCAAAAGCCCAATGCCCGAGTGGCTAAGGAGGATCATGGACCAGTTGGAAGCATTATTTTTGGGTATGCAGCGGCGTTCCTCAAACATCAGGGGGTCGATTGTGCAATGGATGAGTGGCCATTCAACATTGCCGACGTTCCTCAGCAAGAAGGAAACCATGATTGCGGTGTCTTTGCATGCCTTTACATGGAGTTGTGGGCGGGTCACCTTCCAGTGGAATATAAAGCAAGTTGGCACAAGCAGCCACATGTGCAGGAACAGCGAACACGGATTGCAGCCAACCTGCTTTTATGGGAGCATAACCGCCGCAAAGATGAAATAGTTGAAGGTGCAATAAAATGGCATGCGAAGAAGGAGAAGGAGAAAGGGAAAAGGAAGAGAAGGTGATTTTAGATTTTAGTTTGTAAAACTGAACTTAGGCTTGGATGGAGGATATTTTGCAAGATGTTGGATACAATTAGCATGTTTATTTAAACAAATATCATGCTTATTTAAACATCGATGGAGCAAAGTGACAGACAAATATCCTTACAACCCAGAAAAATATCATGTTTATTTAAACAAATATCGGCAAGCTAATAGACAAATACCCTTACTGACCAGACAAATACCATGTTTAGTTAAACAAATATCTCCAAAGTGACAGACAAATATCAGAAAGACCCAGACCGATATCCGAATCATCCAGACACATATCCTTCTTTTGTAGACTAATATCTTTGGAGCCCAGACTTATAGTAAATCTACATCTGTGCATGTGAATAGTGAATAATATCATTGATACAACACATATATGTACACATCTCTGAATAGTGACTAATATCATTGTACTCGCTTCGAAAATACTGATATCCAGGAAGCCCAGAATAATATCTGTACATTCTACAACACATATCAAGGTTGCCCAGACAAGTATCCTAAGAAAGTGTATTAATATCCACTGCAAAACAAAAACGTATCCTGGAATCACATGTCAATTTTATATCACAGTAGACCACTCTCAAACCACCCTACATTCTATTCATAACCATTGAGCAATATTATCATCCAAATCACTAAGATGACCATCCGAGTGAGCAGTGTCGTCCGCCGTGACCACTTCAATGGATTTCATTCTCTTCCTATATTCACGTTTCTTTCGACGACGTTCCTTTTCATTCGTAGACTTGTAACGTTCCTTACCGTGCCTCCTTGGATTACTCTTCTCCTTCAAAGTCAGCCCAGTTATCGGTACAGATCGTCCTACAATGTTAGAGAATTTAGTAAATGCAATGATATTAAACTCTAACAATTTACAAATGTTATTAGCGAATATACTTACTGTCCTCGCTAGTTATAGTCTTTGACAATGCGTTGTTTGCCTCATTGCACACTTTCTTGAGTACTCCCATCCACTTATTGTAGTCCTTCTCATCGGCCATCGACATATTCATTGCTAGCTGATTCAACATTGCAGTGGTTTCCCGGTACCGCATTGCTATACCTTTTCCCGCATCATTCTCACTGGGAGCTGAAGGACCAACAGAACCATCGACATCAACAACTTCTCTCTCTCTCGCCTCCAACGTCCATCGCTTGAGTATGTAATGATCAGGAATACTTCTCATACTTGCTTCCCCAAAATCTCCAAGAATCCGCATCACCTTAATCATGTGGCGGCATAACACTCCTAAAGTTCTGAACATTCTGCATTCGCATACCAAGGTCGTCGTAGAAATATCTACGAGGACGACACGCTCATCACTACGCTCACCATCCTCCATCATATATATGAGGTAGCCAATCATGCCATCATCCCTATTATCTGAGAGCTTCTTTATTATATAGGATTCAGCCACCAAATACTGCTTCTGTATCTTTTCAAAAATTTTAGGAGTAAAGATTTTTGCCGCATGTTGGAGGATCGGGCTATTCTCCAACATTATATAAGGAATCGATTGTTTTGCATTGTAGTCTGACTCTGTCTCCTTGCGTCTTTTGTCAGCCAACAAACTACAATTAGGAAGCAAGAGAAAAGACTTAAGTGCCCAGACTAATATCATCACGGACCCGTAATAATACCCAGAAAAGATAAACAAATATTTAACCATACCAGAGAAATATCCAAACTGACCAAAAAAAATATCCAACTCTAACAGACTAATATCAAAGAAGGGAAAAGTCATATTGCGCGTGTGTACCTGCTAAAGTGAATGAAAAACAAGTCCAAATCATGTCTCGGCTTCAAGAAAAGTCGCACTTGTGCATTGCACGACTCACTAGCTTGCGTAGTCAACATCCCGGCTGTGAATTGATCTCTCAACCATAAAGAACACCATCGATGACGAAATTTCTTCAAACGTTCCAACCATTGATGGCCATCCGCAATGTCGCTATTTGGGAAACAATCAGAAACCATGGTGCTCCATGCCATGTTGAACTCTTCCTCGCTGTCGACGTCATAGAAAATAAATGAAATATGATGTTGGAACTTCTTCCAAAATGCCTTGTCCTTGCGAAGATGCTTCTTGGCATTCATGAGGATGTGCCAAGTACAGAGGGCATGAAACGCAGTAGGCCACTCATTTCTAAGGGCAGCTGCCATGGCTGCATCCTGATCAGTAAATATAGTGATTGGAAGCTTATTCTTCATGCATCGACTAAATGCAACAAACAACCATTCAAACGACGGAGTAGTCTCGTCATACATCAAACAAGCACCAAACACACAAGTTTGGCGGTGGTGATTGAAACCTACAAACATCCCTGCACGAGACAACTATTAATGACAATGCATAACCGAACAAGTGTCGAAAAAACTCAAACGAATCAATATCAGTAAAGCCCAGACTAATATCCTATGATAGGTTACCAATACCCGTCGTGTTACAAACAAATATCCTGGGCATCACATGTCAATATCATACCACCAAGGACCAATTCTATTCATAACCATTTCTGCAATATAATTAAAAACATCCATGCGAAAGAACTCAAGGGAATTAGGGGATTAACGTACCCAGTGGACGGAAGTATTTATTGGCTCGGAAGGTGGTATCAAAGGAGACCGAATCTCCAAAAAGCGCATAATCTTCACGCATCCTACTATCCGCCCAAAATATATTAGCAACTTTCTCTTCGGAATCCACCTCTACAGCATAAAAGAATCCAGGATGCTTGTCCTTTTGGTCCTCAAAGTAGTCCAGCAAATAAGTCGCTTCACCACGAGCCATTGTCCTTTGCCTTTTAGTGTTCAAGTGATTCTTCTGATCGGATTTGGTAAATCTCAGATTTTGATACCCACCAGCACAATCAGCCAATAACTGATACGATGCACTAAGACTCATCCCGGCATCGCGATTAGCTTGAGCCATCTTTTTCTGAGCATCACTCATGAGCTTGTTCGACTTGTGCAAGTGCATATGCTCGGTAGAGTGCAAAACATGACTGTGGGCTTCTACGAATTCATACACCACAAATCCCTCCCTAGCAGCATCCCATCCAAAACGAATACGGGCTGGACATCCATCCCTAACTCGAGGCCTCTTTCTTTTGCAAACCATTCTCTCCTCAACCTTGTCTTCCGACTGTATCTGATTATCCATATTGACTTTGCTTGTGGAAGTCCAGCCTTCCTTATTACAAAAGTAATAAAGGTATGCATAATTTTTCTCCACCACTCCTTTAGAATTCTTGATCTTTCTTATGTGTTCTGTAACATCCCGTATCTGGGTTATTTCTCACATCAAACCGGTTCGACGTGGTTGAAATGAATTCTACCGGTTTGGAAGAACTACGAGTACTCGTCAATTAAAGAGGTGAAAAATCGAGAGAATAAATATGGCATGAACGAATTATAATAAAGGCGAAAATACGAACTAGTGAGCTCAGATGTTGACAGATTCTGATGTGATAAAAAAATATATTCACCACCAAGATTTGAACCAGCAACCTAAAGGTACACAATCACCACCATTTACCAATTGGGCTGCACAATACTTGTGCATAACTTTCCTAGTAAATATTATTACTTACTATCTGGCGAGATCATTTTCTGAAGAAACAAATGAAGCTCTCCTTAAGTGATGTAGCTTCTGTCCAAGATGATTGAATCCATCCCATTACAATAACTCACCACCAACATTAATGTAACTTATGTGCAAGGATAATAGGAGGAGAGTTGGCCACGTTTTCTTTCTTCTTTAGTGGGACTTTTATAAAGGAAAAACAACTTTGACCCACCATTATCATGAGCTGTGCAATTAGAGATTGGATATGGAATTAATATTCAACAGCAACTTGGCTGGGTTGTTGAGTGTATATATATTTAGAACCAAAACTAGAATGATGACCATAAGTCCCAACTAAAGGAAGGAAGGAAAAAGAGAGATAAGGAGAGTTCTGGGTATTCTGGGTTTGGGAGGTCTCCATAAGGGTCTTGGGAGTTTCCCCCACGAAACTAGAGGCGTCGTTGAAGCCTTGTCGGAGCCTCGCCGGAGTTTCGTCGGTATCCCGTGACGGCGACGACGTCAACTCCGACCTCAACCATTCTGTGCGTGGTTGGTACTGTTACGAAGAGGACGATCCCAGGAGCACGCACGTTTCAACGGAATCAATTTTCGACGTCGGACGAGGGAGAAACGAGCCTCGCAAGTTGGCCACGTAGAACTGTCAGTTTCTGAAAGTCAGGTACGGATTCTGCCAGTTCGAAAAGTTTGAGGATCTAGGCGGACGTTTTCCATAGGAAGGGTCAACTCTCTGGTTGACCAGAAATTTATAAATTCAGTACCTGTTACTTCCAGAACTGACAGAATTCGTATTTTGGCCATAATTTGTTCGTTTGACATCCAAACGACGAACCGTTTTCGCCTACAGGATCGTAAAGACGAGGAGAATTTTATCAAGGAGTATTGGGATTTTTTTTACAGCAGCTGTGCAGAGTTGATTTACGTCATAAATAAGGTGTGTGGACCCTGCGGTGAATAGGCGGTGTTTTACTACGTGCTATATGTTTAATATTGAAACATAGCTCAAGATTTAACGAAGATAAAATGAAGAATGTCGTTATTATGATTTGGGTACTCGAGTAGAATTGGATGATTCATAATCGAGTATTTGGAATTTACGAATTTGTAATTGATCCCTACGAATCGTGAAATTCCTTGAGACTTCGTTGTAATTATTTCAATAATTCATGACATGATATCAGGCCATGAGTTATGTGAAATTACGCCGGCGATTGAATAATTATCCTAATACGATTACTTGGGATAATTGTTAAACCACAATCGGATTCGTGAAAATTTGAATAATGGACAGCTACCATGGGAGAATTCTGTCTAGGCTAGTGGTTTTTAATCGAGACCTTCGTGGTACTCGTCCACTTACCTGGGAATTCACCCGGTGAAATCTTTTGGGAATATGGTTGTAAGAAGTGTACTACGAGTAGTGGCACTCATTCCTCTTCTCGGAGTTTTACCACGGCGGGTCCGCCTTTCAAATTACACGGTGATTATCACCAATTAAATGGTTAACGAACCATGTACGAGGATTCAAACCGTCCACCTTATACGTTGAGTGTAAGATAACGATAATGTTTGCGAATGAATTTTCTACTCGATAATTGAATGGATGATTTGATGAATTTAGTATGCATGATATGTACAAATTACCCTATGGCATAGACTTGGTAATTACACCAAGATCGATTGAGATGGATGATTATGATATTGAGATTATGATGAGAATGATGATTTTATATGATGTTCATATTAATCACATAGACTTAGAAAGGGCCTGCATTTACCCCCAACCATTTGATATCATTATTGACGATCAATAGGATCGATGAGGCCAGTGGCCAGAGAGATATGATTGTGGTTTCTGATATAACCACTGAGATGATGAGGCTCGAGCGGGGGTGGATGTATGGTGACCTTGGCGCCCAAATTAATAAAATGGAAATGCATTGCACTTGCATATTATTTGGATATTGGATGCTAGGTTGAGAATTATATTAGGTTGAGACTTCAACCTAGATGCCATGATTAGGTGGTTAATCGATTGATGTGGAAAACGTATCCATAGACTTCGCCGTGTAGGAGGGAACAGCGCCACACACTCAGCTAAATTAGTTAGCTGACCCATTCCCCTTTTGTGTTCAGATCCGTAGCAGAGGGACCGAGCTTGGACGTTGGAGCTGTGCAACTGCTACTCCATCATGAGGTAGCGGACGATTGGTCGGAGGAGAGTTTTAACTATGTTTTGTGTTTTAAACCAAGTATCATAAACATGTATTATGTTGGATTTGATTGCATCGAACTTGATCGATTGAGTTATTATGATTTATGGATTGTACCAAAGTATGTAAGATGGAGATTTGAGTTTCAACGAACAAGTGTTTGGATTTGATGTCATGAGTTGGATGTTGTATGTTTAATAAATGAGATTGGATATTAATAAATGTGTTAGATTTGAAATATATATATGTTCACCTCGAGTTATGTTTAGTAAACGAAAGTTGCATATGTGTTGAATGATGAGTTAATACGTAAACCCCGTTAGTATTTTCTGCTGTGCGGGCGAACCAGTGGTTCGACCCATGAGTTTTCGGGTGGGGTGTTACATGTTCCCCATCTATTCGAACACCAAACCCTTTTTTTGTGAGCGTAGCGCTTATAGAAATCAAAACACTCATCCTTAGTGCGATAAAAGATGTTCTTCCTCGCTTCCTCGTCTTCTAGATCCAACGTCGTATGAGCTGCGAGTTAATGGTATGAGGCATGTTATTATCCATTCTTGACCACAAACTGTTAGAATACATAGGCTTCAACAAATATCCAGAATTCAAATAAATAATATCTATAACTACCAGACAAGTATCAAACAATGCATTAAATAGTGGTTCACACACCAAATATCATGTTTCGTTACAGCCCAGACAAATATCATGTTTCGTTAAACAAATATCGGAAAGCCGATATACAAATATCCATACAGCCTAGACAAATATCATGTTTCATTAAACAAATATCGGCAAGCAAATATACAAATATCCTTGAAGCCCAGACAAATACCATGCTTAGTTAAACACATATCTTCAAAGAAACAGACAAATATCCGAAAGATCCAGACAGATATGTCATTCTCACAACAATTTCAACATCAAACACCCATAACCCCATCAACATCATTCAATGCTATTCTCACAACAATCTCAACATCAAATATTCAATGCAACCAACCTGCATCACAACAACACAAACATATAAAGAACTCAATCAACCTTTATCTTCTTCTTCTTCTTCGTTGAGGGCAGGAGCACCACTTGAATCTTCATCAACAAACTCATATGATGTAGGATAGAGTTCTTCTTCTTCACTATTTTGTGCGATCGATTTACCCTTCTTCATTGGAGAAGATCCTTGATCATCCAACTCCCCATTGTCGTCGATCAGCATCGTAGAAGGTCGCCGGAAAGATGGTCGCCGGAAAATAAGATGGTCGCCGGAAAAAACAGTTGGGCGGCGGCTCTCTTCCTTTGGAAGAGAAGAAAAACAGGAAAAAATGGAAGAGAGAGAAGCAATTTTCGGGTTTGGGTGGGTAGGGTAGTTGGGAGCATTAAATTCCTCCACTTTGTATGAATTTCCTATTTTTGATTTTTGTTTCCCCAAATAAATGACCCACTTGGGCCCCTTCTTTCCATTTCTCCCCCCTTGCCACCTAAACCCTACCAAACCGCCACCATCAGCTCCATCTTTCATCTCAGCTGGGCTAAAAAACCCACAAAACTCCACTGGGCCGTGTCAGTATCTCCACAAATATCCAAACAACACAGACAAATATCCAAACGACACAGACAAATATAAAAAAAAGACAGACTAATATCCAGTCTCAATAAAAAACTATCCAAACCAGCCAGCCCAAATATCCGAACATCGCGAACTAATATCCGTTCAGCCCACTCGGGCTTGCGGTGTCCGCCGGGCCCACTAATTAAAAAACCAAAAAACAAAACCCTAAACCCTTCCCCTTTTAACGTTCTTCCCCAATTGCCAAATCTCTCCCTTTATCGCGAATGAAACAACTAGTTTTATCGCGATTTATCTATCAAACGACTCTTTTCATTGGGTATAAAAAAACGACTCTTTTTATCTAATATCCGACTGTCGCACTAATATCCGTTCTCCATTACAATTAATAATTAAACCTTTAACCCTAAAAAACATTCCTAAACCCTAACACTAACACCCTAATCACTTTTCCAAAAAAGCCCTATTAGAATATCGAAAAGTCCAAGAAAATTTCGAAAACATGAACTAATATCAATTCAAACCTAAGCTAGACCCTAAACCCTTAACCCTAAACCATAACACAAACCATAAACCATATACTATTATTATTTAATGGGCCTTCGGCCCATGGGCCCTCGGCGGGCAGCCCTAACTAAGGTTGCAAGCCTTACGTGTTAGGACTTCCTAGTGTGTTTAATTTTCTAGTGTGTTTAATTTGATGTAAGAAACAATATTCCAATCCTTCACAAATTGAAAACCAAACCATAAACCCTAAAACTTAAACTCTAAATTGGTGTAATCAGTTTCGGGTG